CCCCGCCCGCCCCCGCCGGCCTCGAGCGCTGGACGCTGGGCTTCTGCGACGAGCGCCTCGTGCCCTTCGAGGACGCCGAGAGCACGTACGGCCTCTACCGGGTGAGAGCTACGGGGGCCGCTGTGGGACAGTCCGAGAGGGCCGCGCCCACCAGCTGGACCACGGCTACGGGGGCCGTAGGGGATCAGTCCGTGCCCACGTCCTAAACTTCCCCCTATCTACGGGCACTGCTGGGGGTCACGTCAAGAGGGCCGTGCCCAGTGCCTAACTGCTTGTGGGTACTGCAAGGGGCGTTTGCCGGGTAGGGTCCCGCCCACTGCCCGTACTCCGCCTATGGGGGGACCACAAGGGGGTGGGGTTATCAGAACCACGCCCACTATCTGAACCACGCCCACTGGGGCATGAGGGCCACGCCCACCGCCATACAGTGTTTAAGAGGGGTGCCACTGGGGGGGTGACGAAGGCCGCACATAGGTCTGTAGCCATGAAGGGGGGGCACTAGGGGGAGTGATGAAGGCCGCACACACCTCCGTAGCCTTGAGGGGGCACTAGAGGGTTGCGAGCACCACGCCCTTCCTTTGAACTTTGTTTATGGGGAGATACTAGGGGTCACGAGGGCCACACCTAACTGCCTGAATGCTGCTTTAGGGGAAGGCCACTAGGTTCATGCTCACACCCCTGAACTCCGCCTACCAAGGCCAAAGTGGGTGGGGTCAGCCAGAGGACTAGGCGGACAGTCTGAATCTCCACGATCTGGTCCGCTGGGAGTCACTAGGGAGGGTCATGTCCATGGTCTGAAGATTCCTCTATGGGGATGCTTGGGGGGTAACCTCAGGGACAAGCTCACAGCCTGCAGGTCTCAGGGGGAGTCATCTGAGAGGGCCACGCCCACCACCTGAGCCCCGCCTCCCACCTCTATGCAGATTTCCACCGCGCCCTTTGCAGGGAACCAGGCAGTGCTGGGTCCCCTGAGGTTCCCCTCTGGCCTGCACCACCCTCAGCTTCTGCGTGGGTGCCATGCACGCCTCTTCATGGCTCATCCAGTGCAGTAGCTGGGACTCGGGCAACGGGTTTGAGCAAAGCCTGAGAGTCTAACCGTGGGTCCCAGTTTGCAGCCTGTAGGGCACAAGGGCAGGCAGGGAAAAGCCAGGCAGGAGGGAGGGTGGACACCGGGCTTTAGTGCCAGCCTGAAACACGTGACCACAGTGCCCAAGAGCCCATGGGCTGCAGGCCTGGAGGAAGGGGATCAGGTGTGACCAGACCCTGGGGAGGGTGCTTCTCTCTTGTCTCCTTCCTGTCGCCAGACCGCCAGCACTCACTCCCTCGTGCATGTACGCATGTATTCTTTTTTTTTTGGAGAGGTTTTTGCTATAGGGCGCGTGCGCTCGCCAGACAGACAGAGAGAGACAGAGAGACAGAAAGCGAGAAATCCCCCCCCGGGGGGTTGGCTGCGCCGCAATCCCTTCTCCTCCATTCTCCTCTCGGGATCTTGGGCACGCACGCACACGCGCCCGGCGTGAGTTTAAGCCACCGGGTCCGGGACTCGAACTGTGGTCGGCTACATGGGAGTCCAGCTACACAGCCATTACGCCAGCTGCTGGTCCCGTCACTTTCTCCCTGTGCTCCAACACACTGAGTAGTGCCCTGCCCTGCTTTTCCTTAGTCGTGACTCTGTGTCAGGTAAGCATGACTTTGCAGGAAGGAGGCTGCATTTAGGGAGGGTCCCTGCTTCTGACTCGGAGCAGATCAGAGGCCCTGGGAGAGCGCCGGAAGCCTCTGCTTTGTTTCTTTCTGTTCTGTAATTTTGCTAGAGGCCCTGTGCCCTCAAAGGAGACATAGAAAGTGAAGAGAGCGGGACCAGCAGTAACTACGGTGGTTAAGGTGCTGGGCTCCCACATGGCTGACCACGGTTCGAGTCCCAGATCTGGTGGTTGGCTTTCTCACTTTCCCTTTCTTGATGTATTTCTCTCTGGTCAAATTAAAAGTAATAATAACAGTGACCAGCAGCTGGCGTAATGGTTATGTGGCTGGCCTTCCATGTAGTCGACCTCGGTTCGAGTCCCGGATCTGGTGGCTTAAACTCACGCCGGGCAGAGGAGAGTGGAGGAGAAGGGATTGCGGCATGGCCATCCCCCCTGGGGGGGGGTGATTTCTCGCTTTCTGTCTCTCTGTCTCTCTCTGTCACATACGCCCTATAGCAAATACCTCTCTAAAAAAAATAATAATAAATAAAATAAATCATTCTTTAAGAAAAAGAAAGTGGAGAGGGAAACAGAGAAAGCACCCTCCCCAGAGGTGGCCATGGCACCGAGGGGCAGACCGAGGGGCTTTGCATAAGCATGCGGGGTGCCCTCGACCTCAGCCTTCCCACCTATGAACCGACATAATGCCAGCGCTATTGGTAAGACATCTTTGCCTGGACGATCCGGGTGGCCCCATGTCTGTGGGTGACATGTCCCTCTGTTTGCCGCAGACGCACCTGCTGTCCAAACTGCCCATCCCAGACACCCAGGTGCTCACCATCAACCCGGAGCTGCCCGTGGAGGAGGCAGCAGAAGACTACGCCAGGAAGCTGAGACAGGTGAGCCCTGAAGAGCCACAGCCCGGACGCCAGCACCACCCTGAGCGATTGGCACCAGCAGAAACTGCCCCACGGATGGGCGACAGAGCCCTCTGAGGTCCCTCCCCAGAGACCACAGCCCCACCCCGAGGGTTCCGAGGGCTGCCTGGCAGGTGGCGTACCAGTTCCATTGCTGGGCTCCCACGTGGCCGACTGCGGTTGGAGTCTTTGCACCCAATGACTTGAAAATCATGCCAGGTGCGTGTGTGCGTGCATGCCCGCAAGATCCTCAGGGGGAGAAGAGGAGAAGGGATTGTGGTGTGGCCATCCCCCTGGGAGGGGTGACTTCTCACTTTCCTTCTCACTGTCTCTGTCTCTCTCTCCCTGGTGAGCACATGTACCCTAAGGCAAAAACCTCTTTAAGAAAAATTGTTGAGAGACCAGCCGATGGCATAATGGTTAGGTTGCTGGACTCCCAGGCAGTCGACTGTGGTTTGAGTCCTGGACCCGGTGGCTTAAACTCACATCGGGCATATGCGTGCCCAAGATCCCGAGAGGAGAATGGAGGAGAAGGGATGCGGCGTGGCCATCCCCCCTGGGGGGGTGGTTTCTCGCTTTCTGTCTCTCTGTCTCTCTCTGGCGAGCGCACACGCCCTATAACAAAAATCTCTCTAAAAAAACAAAAAGGAAAATATTTTTTTTTAAGAGTTTTTTTTTTTTTTTTTTGAGAGATTTTCACTGTAGGGCGCGTGCGCTCGCCAGACAGACAGAGAGAGACATAGAGACAGAAAGCGAGAAATCACCCCCAGGGGGGATGGTCACGCCACAATCCCTTCTCCTCCATTCTCCTCTCGGGATCTTGGGCACGCACGCACACGTGCCCGGCGTGAGTTTAAGCCACCGGGTCCAGGACGCGAACCGCGGTCGACTACGTGGGAGTCCAGCGACATAGCCATTACGCTAACTGCTGGTTCCCAAAAAGGAAAAATCGTTGATTTAATTTAATTTATTAGTAGTATTAATGAACTAATTTTAATTTGCTATAGGGCATGTATGCTCACCAGAGAGAGACCAGGGATAGGAGAGTAAGAAAGCAAGAGTCCAGGTCCTGGACTCAGACCATGCTTGGCCATGTGGGGGTCCAGCGGCTTAACCACCACACCACCTGCTGGCCCCCAGACATTCCTATTTTAATTTTTTTTTTTTTTTTTTTTTTTTTTTTTTTTTTTGCTATAGGGTAAGTGCATTCCGTGAAAAGACAGAGGAAAAGTGAGAAAGCCCTGCCCCCTCCCCCTCCAGGGAGTTGACTATACAACAATTGCTTTTCCTTCATCCTGTAGGGATTTTGGGCTTACGTACACACACGCCCTGTGTTTTTTTTTCTTTCTTTCTTTTTCTTTTTTTGGAGAGGTTTTTTGCTATAGGGCACGTGCACTCGCCAGACAGACAGAGAGAGAGAGAGAGAGAGACAGAAAGCGAGAAATCACCCCCCCAGGGGGGATGGCCACGCCGCAATCCCTTCTCCTCCATTTTCCTCTCGGGATCTTGGGCACGCACGCACACACGCCCAGCGTGAGTTTAAGCCACCAGGTCTGGGACTCGAACTGCGGTTGACTACATGGAAGTCCAGCGATATAGCCATGACGCCAACTGCTGATCCCATCCCTTTTCTTTTTTTTTTTTTTCCCCTCAGACTGCTGGGTCCAGGATGTGAACCTACCAGTCAGCCTGATGGAATCCAACTGCCTTAACCACACCACCATCAGCTGGTCTTTTCTCTTTATTTATTTTTGAAATAATTACTTATTTAATTTTATTTATTTATTCATTTATCCTGTCATTTGACTAGAAAGAGACATAGAGAGAGAGAAAGAGAGAGAGAGAGAAAGTGAGGAAGCCAGCCACCTGGTCTGGGGCTCGAACCCTGGTCAGCCATATAGGAGTATCCAGCGCCTTAACCACCATGCCACCTGCGGGTCCCCAGTTGATTTATTTCTTCCAGGAAAGAGAGGCAGAGGGTGGGAGCACCCCTCAACGGGATCTTCACGCCTTGATCCACCCCCAACCTCAGCCAGCTTGGATCACAGATATGCACACCCAGCGTGCACAGGGAGGCTCCCGGATACAGACCTGGAACCTTCCATTGTGGCCTCAGCCCCACAGAGCATCGAATTAGCACTTCACCATCTGACTGCCCTCCCGTTCCTTTTTCTTGTTTTTTTCTTTTTTTGGAGAGGTTTTTGCTGTAGGGCGCGTGCACTTGCCAGAAAGAGAGAGCGAGAGACAGAGAGACAGAAAGCGAGAAATCACCCCCCCAGGGGGGACGGCCACGCCGCAATCCCTTCTCCTCCATTCTCCTCTCGGGATCTTGGGCACGCACGCACACGCGCCCGGCGTGAGTTTTAAGCCACCGGGACCAGGACTCAAACCACAGTCGACTACATGGGAGTCCAGCGACATAGCCATGACGCTAACTGCTGGTCCCTCATTTCATTTTCTGACCACTGTCTTTCCGTATCCTTTGACGCCTCCATCCCTCACTGCACACCCTCTCAGGACTGTCTTCTCCCTCACCCAGGCCTTCCAAGGAGACTCCATTCCAGTTTTTGACCTGCTGATCCTGGGGGTGGGCCCCGACGGCCACACCTGCTCACTCTTCCCAGACCACCCCCTTTTGCAGGTGAGCACAACCACCTCCACTCTCGTGCCCAGCCCTGGCCCCTGGTGTCTGGGGCTTCCAGAGGGAGGGCTGCTCTCAGGACTGCGGTGCCTAGAGCGGGTGTCAAGTCCGCCTCGACCAGTAGATGCACCTGCTGGGCTCATGCTTCTGAGCCTCGGTTTCTTCATCTTATAGTGGGGGCCTTTCACGGCCAACATGGATTATCAGGACGGGGTGGAATGCTGGCCAGACCTGGCCTGGCGTGCGTAAATGTTGACACTTAGGACGTGACATTGTTCTTCTGTCTTTACCCCTGGTCTGCTTCCTCCAGGAGCGGGAGAAGATCGTAGCCCCCATCAGCGACTCCCCAAAGCCACCACCACAGCGTGTGACCCTCACGCTGCCCGTGCTGAACGCAGCCCGAACCGTCATCTTCGTGGCGACTGGAGAGGGCAAGGCAGCTGTTCTGAAGGTAATGAACGGCTGAGGGTTCTGGTCCCAGGAAGGTCAGGGTGTGGCGGCTCCCGGAGTGGAATCTGAGCTCAGATGCGGTGGTGTCAGAAGCATCAGATGTAAACATGATTGAGTAATTCTTATGTTGAACACGAGACGGAAGTAGCAATTAAAAAATTGGGGCTGGCAGGTGGCGTAGTGATTAAGGGCACTGGACTCCCACATGGCTGACCATGGTTCGAATCCCGGACCTGGCGGCTTGCTTTCTCACTTTCTCTTTCTCTCTCTCTCCCTCCCCTCCCTGTACCTCTCTGGTCAAATGAATAAATAAATAAATAAAGTTACATAAAATATATATATTTTTTTTTTAAAAAAGAATTATTTCAGAGACCAGCAGTTGGCGTAATGGCTATGTCCCTGGACTCCCATGTAGTCAACCGCCGTTCGATTCCTGGTCCCGGTGGCTGAAACTCACACCAGGCAAAAATCTCTCCAAAAAAAGGAAAGAATTATTTCATGTAACTTTACTCATGTATTTATTTACTTACTTATTTTAATTTGACCAGAGAGGAACAGAGTGAGAGAGAGAGAGAGAGAGTGTGAAAGTGAGAAAGCAAGCCACCAGGTTTGGGACTTGAACCTTGGTTGATCAGGTGGGAGTCCAGTGCCCTTC